TGAGGATTTTCATTTCATCTTTAATGTCGTAGAATGCTGGTCGAGCAGTTTTCTCTGGAGTCCTGAGGAAGCCGGGTTGGAGCGTTCTCAATTCAACAACGACAACGAAGATCTGTACCAACCTCGCGTCAGCTTAAGAAGATCAGTTTGTAAGATCACATAAATAAATATATCAACTATCTATGCCGAGGTTCATAGAAAGTCGGTCTTTCGAGCGTTCTCAATTGAATTGTAGAAAGCGATTTTTTCCCAGGCAAGTCCCGTACCAATTTTCCGACCCTGGAGAGATGGGAGGTTTGATTGGCCCGGTGCGGAATCGAACTAGCACCGTGCTCGTGATGAAGGGTATGACTACCGCTTTGCTATCCGCCTTGTAATACAGTGACTAATAATACCTTACTTCTTTATAATAGAGGGAATTATCTGAACACTTTTGCATAGTAGAACGAATAACCTAAACAAATTAATCTTTACAGCACATTCTACGAGCGGAACCAATAAGTTAAGGCAAACTTAAGACTAACGTTCATACTAGACTGCATGTAATATTTCTACACAAGATCAATGATTTCCAATACGATTCCCCAATCAAAGTAATTTTGATTCAACGTTGGCGATTATACTCTATATTTTACCATTTCGTATTATATCATAGAAATAACTCTTGCGACACAATCACTTGTTGAATCTCTAGTCTTGAATACGCCCAACTTGAAGAGGGTGGAACTCAGCACATCAACTCCAGAACTATTCTTCTCAATGTCAAGGAAAACTTTTTACCAGAGTTAGAATTGTATATCTAACTATTAACTATAAGCAACTTCTACAAAACATTGGTGTCATTTTAGCATTATCTTTTGTCTATACTACTCATTTAGACCGCGGAAAATGTACCAGAACCCATGTGCCTGGCGACTAGCGCGTAATATGCGCAACAAAGCCCTAAACCTGACGATCTTCTCGTTGTTCAACATGTTGGTGGCGTTGTTCAACGCCGTACACCTGCTGATGCTCTAAACAGAGAGCAAGCTGCTCCAGTATTCACAACCGGAAGCTCGATAAGTGATTAGATCTATCATACTGCCTCGACATAATTCTCACGAACTCATTTAAATAATAAACTCTTCCGATCTTGTTTTCATTAATGACTCAGGATAGAAACAGTTCAATAGGGATAAACATGATCTGATAACGAGTATTGACACTTGACAGTTGAACGGCCCGTCCTCACTGGTTCTGCGGACCACAGCATAATCACCATTTATCAGAGATGTACTAGTTAAGCCATTGTGGTTCCCTGGGATCCCGAGGACAGCCTGGCCAAAATCTGTTACAAATCGTCACCACGACAGGCACTCGCAGCTCTTGTGGATCAGAGGGAGATTTACCACCATGCGACTTTGATACCAAGGCAGGCGGTGGCGGATCCTGGTATTGGTTCGCTCTTTGCTAGGTTTCCTGATGGAAACGCCGGACTCCTTCTCAGCTTGGGAGATCTTGACGGGGGACGAGTCCGCTCGCTGTACATCGCAGTCTGACACCCAGCAACACCTCCCAGCCACGATAAACCGTTGGGAAGGATAACGAGTATTAGCGATTGATAATCTCTAACTTTACTAGAAAATTTTGAAATCGATATACTGTCCTGTCCACAGTGGATGTTGTGGAAGTATTGTGTTCAGAAGTCACATTTCAGATTCTATTAAATAACACTCCGTTAGGGATAATGTAAGACGATGGTTCCCATTCTTACGACTTGTCCGGATTTTCCTTGCAACTTCATCGTAGAGAGTGGATGCTCCTGGATGATGAGATGAGATAAAGCTGTACAGTATAGGATTCACGCTCGGTACTCACAGAGCTGATTAGTTTGATATTTCTTTTGAAAATGTTCGAAGCTGAACCAAATATAGGACTGTGACGGAAGTCGTAGAAGACACCAAGTTGATGTGAGTCACCAAACCTACAACAACGGCTTACGGCCGTTTGTTGCGATTTCAGAACGCCGTGGAATGGTTATTTCAAGATTTCGCAGTAGAACATCTTGATCGTTCAATAAAACACCATTATGAGGAAAACCAACTTCAGGCCTACACGACTCCGTGACAACTAGTTATTGCAATTATAAAGTATTAAGTAGATAGAATCACTCAAATTACAAATTCACTTGAATTTTTACGCTTTGAGAGGCAACAATCATAAATTGTTGCAACCTTCACATTGTCATATTACTGCATTTTTTCGGATGGAGCGCTGGGATAGGTCTCATGTGTAGTGTGGGGCGCCTCCGACAACTGAGCTAAAGACGGCCACTAAATATTAAAGCTTATTAGTAAGAATGGAATCCTTTGAAATACACAGAACTTTATCTACAAGATTCCAGTCATTCTCTTCACTTATTCATACGTCAAGGTCCGTATTTCGAACATCAATGCCATTGTGCAAGCGCGATATCGTCTGGTACGGCGCCATGGTGTTCTCCATCGCTACGTCAACGTTAACTGGTGCTGCGTTTGCGTTCAAAATATTAATAATGCAAATTTCGTTATTCCTTTTCTGATTTTATTTCTAAGCATCTTCTACGGTAAGCCGAACAACTCAAAGAAAACCTTGTCACCTTCCCATCATACGCATTGAAACCAACGCTAGCTGCCTCGAAATGTATTATGATAACACACTTGTTGGAGCGCATTGACGTACAAAGTGATAAATAGGCCATATCTAAAAAGAAAATAAAAAAACCTATCCATTGAAAACATTTATTAAAGACCATCATAAGCGACAATGTATTTACAATATATAAGCATCTGTAACAATGCCAACAAAGGGCTCCTGGAGAATACAAAAGACCGGCATAGCCGGAAATACGACACGTAGATGAGATGCCAAGCTAATTCTCAAAACCGCGTCGAAATACGGTCGCGCGGGCATCATATCCACTCAGATTTGACATGCTTCTTATCACAGAACTGTAGTGAGGGACGATCAATTCGAGCCTAACCAAATATGTTTGAAAAATAAATTTGATAAAACCTAATTTACATTAAGAGCAAAACAGGTTAGATGAAAGCTTCGCTAAACAGTCACAAGGCACGCAGAATCCATTTAGCATGTTGACTTGGCTTGAGCAAAACTAATTTCGAAAAAAGGGAAATCTTTGTGGTGATTAAGACTTCTTTTCAATCTGGAACAAAAGCAAGACTTGTCTAATCGGAATAACAACAAAACGACCAGTAAATTTAGAAATGAACACTTCTTAGCAAACATTAGCCGTAACAACATGACATCTGATAGCAACCTAATGACAAAAATTCGCTATACACAAAGGAGAAAACACTTTCGAAATGCGGTGACTGAAGAAGTGAACATGTGAGATATAAAGTAATAAGAAATGGTTGAAGGCAAACTCAATTTTAAAGCCAGACTTACTCACATGGGACACTATACCACCAACTGACATAGGGGAGAAGAAATTAGCCGGGATTATCACGACGGGAAGAAAGAGTAGAAAACAAGTTGATACCTGCACATCGGGAATTACGACTCTTCGGAAATATTGTACAAATAAGTACTAGAATGACGACAGACAACTAGACGAAGAATCCGTCGTCGTACCGAGCCGGCCTTATCGTAGCCGATCGCACTGGTAGAGTTGTAGTATCAACAGCACGGACCGCAGCACGAGTTTCTTGTAAGTGAGCCAATGCACTGCGGATTCGTTGGAACTCATCGGATATCAAGCCTGGTAGAAACAGCAACATAACAACAATAAGGCAAATATGTAATATTGTTTTGATAATTTTAACTTTTTATTTGCTGCCTACCACAATTTTTACGGCAGAGTAATATGTGAAATACAATCTTAACGATGCTGAGATATTAGCAAAACTCCGGACCGCATGTGTGCTTTTGATATGTCCGGAATTTTTCAAATATCTCAACACCGTTATGGTTGTCTTGATATTTATATAATATCGGTGAAAAAATTTCTAGCCGCCGGCGGAACACTTCGCTGTGTGGAAAAATTTTGGTAAGAAACAAAATATTCTACGGTGTCCTGATAGAAGGAAAAAAATAATAATTTAAGAAATCTCCTTCACCATATGATTGTATCTGGCCGAATTTGTAGAATGTCAAAGAAGTGATTACGAAAAGTTCTAGATGAAATAACGCGAAAAAGTGTAATAAGACCATAAAGGACCCGCATGGTGTGGTGGTCAATGCGTTAGCCCACGAAAACGATAACATTAGCCCCCCAGATCATTCCCGTTGACGGGTCATTGCTGATGGCATTGGTAGGTAGAAAACTAGCTGAAGGAAAGGTGAAACGAACGATCTGCATGGTGTGGTGGTGAACGCGTTAGCCCTAGGAAAGAGTAATAGCGCGTTCGTTCCCCACCGCAGACACCTGTGGTTTAGAGTTTTGCATATCTCGGCATCATTGTAACAAGACATTTGAACACACCAATGGCTAACATATCCAAATGACTTCGCCGGGCTAGCTCTGCAATGGTGTAAATTCCCTCCTGGTTGAACTTTCCCAAACAGTGGCTCATATTCAGCGACCGCAAAAATTCGTCCAATGTCGGGTAGGATGAAACTTGTACACTCGAAATTATAGAATCACCAGATGAGACGTTTGTTCGGCTGACTGTGTGACTACCGACGCTGGAATAAAAAAAATTGTAACTGCCACGACCGACTTTCTATTAACCTCGGCATTGATCAAGTGATTTTCTTCGTATTTTTGTTGAGCAAACGCGAGGTGTTACTATTCTTTGTTCACGATTAAGCTGACGTTTCGGCGGA